TGTAATATTAGTATAAGTTTTTTTTTATTATTTTTAATTTTCGATTAAAAGATGTTATATTATAGACAAGGAATTATATTAGTCTTCTAAACTAATTTTGAGGTTTCTCACTTGTTTTATGTTATTTTTTGTTTTTTTTTTTTATTTGTTTTTAGTTTTTTTGAATTTTTGTATTTTAGATTGTGTTGTTTGATGAAGAGTTTTTGTCGTTTGTACTTTTGTTTTTGTTTTTTTGGTATTTGATAATAAGAATAATGGTGGTTTGATTAATTATTATATTATTCAAGAAATTTGTGGCTATTATTTTTTGGTTTTTGATAGTTGAAAATTGCAATTTTTTTTTCTTATGTTGAAGTCCGGAGTAGCCCCATTTCATTTTTGGTTATTTAGTGTGTTGAGTGAAATAAGGGGTTGATCTATTTTATGGTTTTTGACTTTACAAAAATTAGTATATTTTGTTGTTTTGGTTAATTTTTGTGGTGATTTTTTTTTTATTTTTTTGTTTATTGGTATGGCTATTTGTTACTTGCAAATTTTTTTATTGCGCAGTTATCGGGATATATTAATTGTTAGCTCTACTGAGTCTTTTAATTGGTTATTATTGATTAGAAGTTTTTCTTTTAGTGAAGTTTTTGTTTTGTTTCTTTTTTATTATTTCATTATATTTTTATTAGTTTGTTATATTTATAATTTTGGTTTTGGTTCTTATATATCTGAAATGGTTATGATTTTTTTTAATGTTCCTATAAGTATCACTTTTTTTTTAAAGGTCTTATTGCTAATGAATTCTAGTTATTATGTGGGGGTTTATTTTTTTTTTTTATTATTGATTATATGTTTGATGTCTTTGGGGTTAAGTTATTTTTTTTTTTTTTTTTTTTAGAATATATTTCTTATTCATATTGGCTCGAATTAAATGAACATACATCATGCAATAAGATTTCGTCTGGAACTTTCAAATGACAAGGATAGCTGTTTTAGTTTAATTTAAAATTTTTAATTTGTAATTAAAAGATTTTTTTTCAGTTTGTTTATTTTTTTTTTTGTTGTATTATTATTATTGTTTTATCCTTTTTTATTTTTTTTTTTTTTTATGAGTTTTGTGTTTTTGGGGATTTTTGATTATTCTTCACATTTGCCAGAAATTTTTTTTGATTCTTTTAATTTTGTTTTTTTATCTTTTATAAGGGTGTTTGTTTTGGGGTTTATTTGTGTTTCTGAAATTTTAAGTGGGTTGGTTTTTTATGGTTGCTTGATTGTTTTTTTTAGTGTTTGTTTTTTTTATTCTAGAAGGGTCTTAATACTTTATGTATTTTATGAATTGACTATAATTCCTGTTTTATTTTGTTTATTAGGTTATGGTCGGCAGGTTGAAAAAATTAGTGCTTGTTATTATTTAATTTTTTATACTTTATTTTTTGGTATGCCTTATTTGTTTTTATATAGTCATGTTTTTTGGATATTAAATTTTGTTTATTATGATTTATTTATTTGTTATGAGTTTATTTTTTTATTGAGTTTGTGTTTCTTAGTTAAATTTCCTATTTATTTTATTCATATATGGTTGCCGAAGGCTCATGTGGAGGCGTCAACTAGTACTAGTATAATTTTGGCCGGTGTTATGTTGAAGTTAGGGGGTTGTGGTGTTTATCGAATTATGAAGTCTTTGAGTTTTTTTGGTTTTGAATTTTTGATTTTTTTTTCTTTGATTAGAATGGTTTTTTGTTCTTTTATTTGTATAATACAAAGTGATTGTAAATCATTAGCTGCTTATTCTTCAATTTGTCATATAGGATTTGTATTATTGTCTGAACTTAGTATGGTTTATTATGGTAAATCTATGGCGTTGGTTATAATGTTAGCTCATGGCTATACTTCTGTTTTAATGTTTTATTTTATTGGGGAATTTTATCATGTTGCTAATAGTCGTTTGATTTATTATTTGCGTGGATATTTTAATATTAGTAGTTTATTTTGTTTAATGTTTTGTTTAACGATGTTATCTAATTTTAGGTTTCCTGTATCTATTACTTTTTTTTCTGAGTATTTTATATTAAATTGATATGTTTCTGTTTTTTTTGTTGGTATTTTTTTTTTATTTGTTTATTATTTAATTTCATTTTATTATTCTGTCTATATATTAGTTGGTTTTATAGTGGGGAATAGATTAAGCTATGTTTTTGAAAGTCGAAGAGTTATTTGTTTACCTTTGATTTTTATAATATATAATTTTTTTTGATTTATGTTTATTATTTAATATGAATATTTTTTGTGGAATGACTTTTGGAAATGTTTTAAAGGAAAGGATTATTAATACTGTTAATCATAAAATTATTGGTACTTATTATATTATTCTTGGATATTGAGCTAGATTTGGTGGTTCTTTATTGTCTATGGTTATGCGTTTTGAATTATCTAGGCCGGGTGGTTATTTATTTTTTGGAAACGGCCAAGTTTATAATACGGTTTTGACTATGCATGGTGTTTTAATGATTTTTTTTGTTGTTATACCTATTTTAATCGGAGGATTTGGTAATTGAATGCTTCCTGTAATATTGGGGGCTCCTGAAATGGCTTTTCCTCGGATTAATGCTTTGTCTTTTTGAGTAACTTTTGTGGCTTTGTTTATAGTTTACCAATCGTTTTTTGTTGGCGGGGGTGCAGGAAGTAGTTGAACTTTTTATCCTCCTCTTAGTGTTGAGGGTCAGCCTGAGCTATCTTTAGATGTTATAGTTTTGGGTTTACATACTTCTGGGATTGGTTCTTTATTAGGGGCTATTAATTTTATGGTTACTGTTCAAAATATGCGGTCTGTTGCTGTTACTTTAGATCAAGTTAGGATATTTGTTTGGACTTCTTATTTAACTTCTTTTTTGTTAGTTTTGTCTGTGCCGGTTTTAGCGGGTTCTCTTTTATTTTTATTATTTGATCGTAATTTTAATACTTCTTTTTATGATACTAGAAAGGGCGGTAATCCATTGCTTTATCAACATTTGTTTTGATTTTTTGGTCATCCGGAAGTGTATGTTATTATTTTGCCTGTATTTGGTATTATTAGGGAGGCGGTATTGTTTTTAACTGACAAAGATCGTTTGTTTGGTCAAACTAGTATGACTTTTGCTTCTATTTGAATTGCTGTTTTAGGTACTTCTGTTTGAGGTCATCATATATATACTGCGGGGTTAGATATTGACACTCGTACTTATTTTAGTGCTGCTACTATGATTATTGCTATTCCAAGAGCTGTCAAAATTTTTAATTGACTTGGAACTTTTTTTGGTTCTAATCAAAGGTTTCAGCCTCTATGATGTTGAACTTATAGCTTTATTTTTCTTTTTACGGTTGGGGGGCTGAGTGGTATTATTTTAAGTGCTGCTAGTTTAGATATTATTTTACATGATACTTATTAGGTTGTTGCACATTTTCATTATACTTTAAGTTTGGGTGCTGTTTACGGCATTTTTTGTGGATTTTGTCTTTGGTTACCGTATGTTTATGGTGTTTCTTTTGACAGTGTTATAATGATAACTGTTTTTATTTGTTTTTTTGTTGGGACTAATATAACTTTTTTTCCTATACATTTTGCTGGAATACAGGGGATACCTCGTAAAATTTTGGATTATCCTGATTGTTATGTTATATTTCAAACTGTCTCTTCTTTGGGTTCTGTAATTACTTTTATTGGATTTATTTTATTTAATTACTTATTAATAGATTCTATTTTTTTTTCTCGTTCTTTAGGAATTTCTTTTTATAATTTTCATAGTCCCGCGTATGCTTTAAATATCCCACTTTTACCTGACTGTTTTGTGGAAGAGTCTATAAATGTTGGGTTATCGTGAAAGATGATAGATGATAGTTTTTTCAACTATCGTCGTATTGGTTATGGCTATTATAGAAAGTGTAGATATAGGTTAATTTTTAAACTGTTAGTTTTCAAAACTAAAGATTTGTTCTATTAAAATTGTTAAATTACTTATTTTGAATAATTGATTTTTATTTTATTTTTTTATTTTAGTTATTTTTTAGCTTTGTTTTTCTTTTGTTTAAGTTTTCTTGATTGAGATCCATTAAAGAGTTGTGTTATAATGTGTTTGGGTATTTTAAGTATGAGTTGTTATGTTTCTTTAGGTGTTCATGTTTGGTATTCTTATTTTATTGTTTTAATTTTTTTAAGTGGGGTTTTTTCTTTGTTGACTTATTTTTGTAGAATATCTAATTTTAGTTTTTATTATAATTATTTTTATTTTTTTATTATTTTTGTTTTTGTTTTTTTCTTTTTATTTTTTATAAATATTGATTTTTTTTATTTTTATTTTGATTATAATTTTTTAAGTATTTGTTATAATTTTAATTATTATTTTATTTTTTGGATTATTTTTATTTTATTTTTGTTATTAAGATTAGTAAGATTAGTTTTTAAGAGAGGGGCCTATATACGAGGGTTATAAATATAAAATAGATAAACTATATCTGATTACGGCTCAGTTAGAATTATATTTTTTTTTTTTTTTTTGGATTTAGTTTAATTAAAATTTCTTTTTTTGGATTAGAAGATTTTTTCCAAAATGTTTTATAATTTCTTAAATTCGTTAGTTTTTCTTCCTGCTAGTTTTACTTTAACTTATATGTGAAATTTTGGTAGCATATTGGGTGTTATGTTGATATCTCAGATTTTTACTGGTTTTTTTTTAACTTTTTATTATTCAACGAATGCTGCATTTAGCACTGTGCAATATGTAATGTTTGAAGTTAATTTTGGATGATTTATCCGCATTATACATTCTAATGGTGCCTCTATATTTTTTTTTTTTATTTATTTGCATATTTTTAAAGGTTTAATTACTGGCAGATATCGTCTTACTAATGTTTGACTAAGAGGGGTTTTTATCTATTTTTTTTTGATGGGTATTGCTTTTACTGGATATGCTTTAATTTGAGGTCAAATGAGTTATTGGGCTGCTGTTGTGATTACTAGTTTGGTGACTTCTTTGCCTTTTATTGGTAAATATTTAGTTTGATGAATTTGGGGCGGTTTTAATGTTTGTGAAAATACTTTAAAGTTTTTTTATTCAATTCATTTTATTTTACCTTGATTTTTGTTGATTTTAATGATTATTCATTTATTTTTTTTACATTTTACTGGATCTAGTTCTAGACTTTATTGTCATGGTGATTATGATAAAATTCATTTTTTTCCATATTTTTGATTGAAAGATAGTTTAGATATTTTTTTTTATTTTTTTTTAATTTTATTTGGCCTATATTTTTCTTTTAATTTAAGTGACCCTATGATTTTTGTAGAGTCAGACTCTATAGCTAGTCCTATACATGTTGTTCCTGAGTGATATTTTTTATTTGCTTTTACTATTTTACGTTCTGTTCCTAATAAATTATTTGGTGTTATTTTGATGCTTAGTTCTGTTTTTTTATTAATAGTTCTTGTTTGACCTGGGGGGTATTATTCTATTTTAGATAATATTTTATGTTTTTTTGTATTATGTTTTATTTGATTTTTTTTTTGGTTGACTTGGGCAGGGCATTATCCTACTGATTATCCTTTTAATTATTTTAATTTATTTTGTACTTTTTTGTATTTTTTTTGTATTTTTTTTGTTAGATTATTAAATTTTTTTTCTGTTAAACTTTTTAGTTTTATTTCTATTATAATAAGTATAATAATTTTAGAAATTATTGGTAATGAAATATAATTTTATTAAAATTTCGTAAATTTCATAAGATAAAGTATAGTTATTATCCTTTCATGTTAAGTGGGGGTATCCTCTGTGTTGTTACTAGTTTAGTGTTATTTTTAAATATAGGATTGTTTTATTCTTTTTTTGTTTGTGTTTTATATATTTTTTATATTTTTATTTTGTGAATTAAGGATGTTATTTTAGAAGATATTAGTGGTCAGTATTCTTTTTTTGATTATCGTATGTTTAAACAAGGATTTTATTTGTTTTTATTTAGTGAATTAACTTTATTTTTTTCTATTTTTTGAACTTTTTTAGATTCTTCTTTATGTCCATTAACTTGACTAGGAGGATGTTGACAACCTGTTGGTATTTTGTCTCCTGATTATTTAGGAATTAACGGTACTGCGAGATTTTTTTTGATAATAAATAGACATATTTTGAAGTATTCTCGTCGATATTTGTGTTTAAATATGGCTAATTGTGAATTTTTATTATTAATTTGCATTTTTATTGGAAGGGGGTTTTTGTGTTTTCAGTATTATGAATATAGTCATAATTGTTTTGTTATGAATGATAGTATTTATGGTAATATTTTTTATATGGGTACTGGTTTACATGGATTTCATGTTTTTATTGGGGTTTGTTTTATTATTATTAATTTTTTTCGTATTAAGTTATTTAATTTTAATTGATATCATACTCAGGCTTTCGATATATCTATTGATTATTGACGATTTTTAGAATGAATATGGGGTTTTATATTTTGTTTATTATATGTTTGAGGTTCTTAATTTTTTAATTACAGATGGTTGTCTTGTTATTTGTTTTTTTTATTCTTATTCGCTATTATAATTTTGTATGACCATAGTGATTTAAAATTTTTTAGAATTACAATTATTTACAAAGTTAGTTTTTATTAATTAAGAGGGGGGCATTTTTAGGTGGTAGGAAAATGTATGCACGTATGTACATATATATGTGTATATTATACACATATAAATAAATATATATATTATATATTATATATATATATATATATTATAAGTTAATTATACACTAACGTGTTAGTAATATCTATTACTAAAATAAATTCAATTCTTTAAAGTATTACCATAAGTAATACTTTACAGAATTGAATTTAATATTAACAAAATAAAAGATGTTTTAAAACAAATAGACAAGAAACTATTTATAATTAAAGAAGATATGTGTATATATTATAAAGGTATTATATCTGATTTGCAATCATAAGATTAATATGCACAATGGCTTTTTAGTATAATAAGTATACTCGTTTTAAGTGCGGTTGGTTTTAAGCTAATTTGAATTTATAGTATAATTTTTTTGTATAACTAATTGTTAATTAGTAGGTTTTAAGGTTCTTTATTGTAATACAGTAGGATAAATAAGTCTATGAGATTCATATTTTCAAGGTCAGATGTGTTTAGAGAATTATTTTAATTTTAGAATTTTTGACTCTTAATCAAAAGGTTTGTTCTTTAGGTAGTCTTAATTTTTATATCTTTTTTGTTTTTTATTTTTAAATATAGTTATTTGATTTTTGTGTTACTGGGTATTGAATTTTTATTTTTTTCTTTGTTAACTTATTATGTTTTTTTTTTTGAATCTATATTATTCTTTTATTTTTTATGTTTTGGTGTTTTTTCTAGGGTTGCTGGATTGGTTATTTTTTTTTTTAGAGTTAAAGGATATGGATTGGATAAGGTTATGTTTTATTTTTAAAATATTAAGTTTGATTTTAGTTTTAGTTGTATTAAGATAGTATTACTTATTTATAGTTTATTTAGTATGAAATTTTTTATACATTGGTAGTTTCTTTATTGTTTTATAAATGTTCCAGAATAATCGGCTATACATTTTAATTTTTAACTCTATTTATTGTGACATCTTTGAGTGTTTTATTTTTTATACTATTTTTGTAAAATATATTAGTTTTTATTTTATTTTTTGAGGGTGTTTAAAATTTGCTTTAGTGAACTGGACTAGTACCCAGGTAATCAAAATTTAATAGTTCGGGAGTAAAGTTATATTTAAACCGAAAAAATATTGACTGACTTTAGATTTTTCTTTGGAATATGTGTTTGGAGAGTCCTCCTTGATAGTAATTTTTATAGGCACATGTATGATTGTTTAGTTTTTATATTATTTATAATGCTATTTTTTTAAAGTATTAAAACAGATATATATTTGGTTTATATTTTTATTTTTCATGTATTACTATTGTTAATTTTTTTTGGATATTTTTTTAATTTTTTTTTGAAATTGGAAAAGAAAGTAATTTTTTATTTTTATGTTGTAATGAATTTAATAAATAAAGTGGTACAAACCATCCGTCAATGGCCTAAAGGGGCGTAAGTTGTAGTATGGTAGAAGTAAGGAAACTTGTTTCTATTTTTGAAGTTCTAGTTTATTATAGAATAAAGAATTGTAAATTCTTAGGATTAAGCTTTGTTTATTTTGTATTATGTTGGATATTTAATTATAATTATTTTTATTTTACAATCTGTAGCTTTTTTTACTTTGTTGGAACGGCATTTTTTAGGTGGCTCTCAATGTCGTCTGGGCCCTAATAAGGTTGGGTATTTAGGAATGTTTCAGGCTTTATTTGATGGACTAAAATTATTAAAAAAAGAACAGTTATTACTTTGTTTTTCTTCTTGATTGTCTTTTTTATTTATACCTGTATTAGCATTTATTTTGATGATTTTTTTTTGGTTTACTTTACCATATTTTTTTGATTTTATTTCTTTTGAGTATTCCGGTATTTTTTTGTTTTGTTTAATGGGAGTTTCTGTATATTTTATTATATTGTCTGGTGTATTTAGTGGTAGGGGCTATTCTTTTATTGGGGGATTGCGTGCTTGTGCTCAAAGATATTCTTATGAGATTGCTTTTTCTGTGTATTTATTAATTTTTTTGTTATTTAATAAAAGATTTTGCTTATGTAGTAGGTTTTGTTTGTTTTTTTTTTATATTTTTTTCCTTTTTTTTGTTTGATTCTAATTGATTTGTATCGAGCTTCTTTTGATTTTTCTGAATGTGAAAGTGAATTAGTTAGTGGATTTAATGTTGAGTATTCTAGTGTTGGTTTTGTGGGTGCATTTTTAGGAGAATATGGGAATTTGTTATATTTTAGTTGTTTGACTTCCAGTTTGTTTTTTGGTTTTTTTATTTTATTATTTGTATCATTGTTTTTTCTCGTAGATCATACCCGCGTCTTCGTTTTGATTTTTTAATGTGAATATGTTGATTTTTGTTTTTACCAATTGGGTTTTATATGTTTGGGTTGTCTTTTATTATTTTTATGATATACTTATTTAGTTTATTTCGATAACATTTTGAAAAGATGTAGGGGGAATTAAGTGTTGTTTTTATTATCTATTATTTGGTTTTTTTTTTATTTTTTATTTATTTTATATGGAGTTATGTAAATTGGGTTGTGTTGATATATTGAAATATATTTTTGTTATTTTACTTAAAAGTTTTGATCATCAGAGTTTTCAATCTAGTGTTTTTTTTAAGTTAATTGTTGTTTTTTTTAACTATTTTTTGAATATGTGGCTTATTATTTCCTTTGTTTAGTCCTTGGGCTTGTATTGGTCTTTTGTTTTTTATAACTAATTTCTCTTGGCTAAGTGTACGAACTTTTACTTTAGCTATAGATTGATTTTTAGTATTTTTTGAAGGCGATCATTCTTGAAATTGCATTTCTAGGTTAGTGATATTTTTTTCTCATTGATTAAGATTTTTGATAAGGGGGTGGCTCTAACTTTACGTATTAGAATTATTTTTCTGATTGGTCATTTTATGATATTTTCTATTTTGAGATTAAATTTATTTTTATTATTTGTTATTCCTCTTGAGTTATTTTTTGCTTTTTTGCAAAGTTATATTTTTTTAACTTTGGTTTGTATATTTTTATTAAATATGGTTTAGTCTGTTATAATAGTTTAAGTTTTAGATTTTTGTTTTGATGAGGCAGAGGTGTTTATAATTTTTGGCTTTTTAGTATAATTATGGTATATTTGTTTTCCAAACAAAAGGTAATTTTTAGCTAATAATTTATTTACAAAATTATGTGTTCCCTATTCCTAGTAGTTTGTATGTTTTTTGTTGCTATTATATCCATAATTATTATTCTCATATTATTATTTTTGGTTTTTTTGTAATGACTTTAGTTAGTAGTGGTGTTAGTATTTTTGGGGGGGAATTCTTTTAAGTTTAATATTAAGAGTAGTGATAGACGTATAATTGAGCTGTTTCTGCAAGTATTAATTACTAATTTTTTGGTGGCTATAGCTGGGCCTGGATTTTGGTTAATTCAATTTCAAGGTCGGATATTTTATCAATCTGAGTTGACTCTGAAGGTTATTGGTCATCAATGATATTGAAGATATGAGTATGGTAATAGAAATAGGTTGTGCTTTGACTCTTTTATAAAATCGTTAGATGATTTAGATAATGGGGATTTTCGGTTATTTGATGTTGATAATCGCTGTATTTTGCCGGCTGAAGTAAATGTTGGCTTTTATTGTACTTCTACTGATGTTATTCATTCTTTTGCTATTCCTAAATGTTTTATTAAGATAGATGCTTTAAATGGGATATTAACTAAGGTCTCTTTTAATTTTTCTTGTTGTGGTTTGTTTTATGGGCAATGTTCTGAAATTTGTGGTGCTAACCATAGATTTATACCTATTGTTTTAGAGTTAACTTCTTTAGAGTGTTGGAAGAACTGATCTTTAAATTATTTATTAAATTAATTTTTTAATTTTAATTAAAATAATTGGTTGTGGTCTAAGAGATTTAAAAATTCAATTTCTTCTAATTTTATTTTTTGGTATTGCATACTAATAAAAGATTTTATCATAATTTATGAGTAATAGAATTAAAATGTTAAAGTTGGATATTTTTTATTTTTACGAAATTAATTATATTTAAGTTTGGTATTGATATAACGCATTTTCATTTCTGTTTTTTTGTGTTTATGGTTAAGTTATATATTTTGTTTTTGTGTTCTAAAATATTTATTTTGTTTTATAATGTAGTCTGTTTTACATTAATTTTTTTCTTTGATTGAATTTTCAATTTATTTATAGTTTTTATTTTAGTAATTTTTTTTATTTGTTATTTTTAATTTGTAATTTTCTTGTTGAAATATATTTATTGCTAAATGTTTATTAAAAACGTAGGTCTTTTTTTAAAATTGTTTTCTGCTCTATGATTTCTTTAAATGGCAGCCTTAGCGTGATGGCGTAAAAGTAGCGTAAGTGATTTGTTTTTTTAATGATTTCGTGTATGAATGGAGTTTTTAGTGATTTTTTTGTTTTTTTTTTATTTGAAATTATTTTTTTTTTTAAAAATTATTTTTTAGGATATTACAAAGATAAGTCTTCGGAAATTTTTTTTTATTTTGTTGATTTGATTTTTGCATTTTAATTTTTTCTTGGGGATGGATTTTATAAAATTTTTTATTACTATTTTTATTATTTTAAATTACTCCGGAGTTAACAGGGCTGTAGACACATAATTAGAATTTTATATTAGTGTGCTGCGCTACATCGATGTTGTATATTTTTTATAAAGGGGGAGAGAATTTTTTTGGTTTGAGACTGTTCTTCTTGTATAAAAATTAAACTTGATATTAGTTTAGTTCGTCGTGAGACAGAGCGGTTTATCTTGTGTATCTTTTGTATTTATTGGGATTAGTACGAAAGGAAAATTACGAGGGTTAATATTTATGATCTTTTTATTTTTATGGATTTTGTGTCTTTTTTTTAATTTTGTTTTTTTGTTTATTTTTTCTTTTTTGATTCCTTTAGCTATATATTTTGTTTCTTTGATTTTTTCTTATAAAGATTATTATGTCGGGAAATTAAGGTCTTATGAATGTGGTTTTGATGTGGTTGGTGGAAATTGTTTTAGTTTTAATGTTGTTTTTTTTTCTATTATTTTGATTTTTGTTGTTTTTGAGTTAGAGATTGTTATTTTTTTTATTTTGATTTATGGTGATTTTTATAGTGTGGTTTGTTTTTTTTTGTTTTTTTTTTATATTGTTTTTAGTTATTATATAGAGTGATATTATTGTAAGTTAACTTGAGTTTTGTGGGTATTTAGTATAATTTATAATATAAGTGATTGCAGATCATTTGATTTATTGCCTTAGGTTGAATTTATGAGTTTTGAAAACTTTTATTGGATTATTAATCCTTAACTTTTACTGAGTTAGTTTAAATTTTAAAATTGAATGTTTGGGACATTTTGATTATTTTCAGTTATTGAGAGATTTAGTATATTTTTTAGTATAGCATGTTGTCTACTTGCAGGAGTTGTTCTTTAGGTCTTTTAGTTTATTATGAATATTTTGTTTACAACAATAAGGAATTATTAGACTTTTTTTATTGTTTGTTTGGTATATTCTTTTTTTTTATTTTTTTTTGGTGTTATTGATTTTTTTTTTGCCTTATGGTAAATGAGTTTTTTGTTTTGGTTTAAATGATTTTTTTAGTGTAATTTTTACTTATAATTTTGAAGTTTGTTTGTTTTTGTTTGTTCTTTTATTTGTTTCTTTTATAGTTTTTTTGTATGGTTCATTTTATATAGTGGGAGTTTCTCGTTTATTTTATTTTTTTTTTATTTTGTTTTTGTTTGTTTTAAGTATGGGTGGTTTGGTTGTATTTAGTGGGAGTGTTGTTATAGTTTTGGTTTTTTGGGATTTTTTAGGTATTAGTAGATTTTTTTTGGTTTTATTTTATAATAATGTGGGTTCTCGGGAAGGTGCTATAAGTACTGTTTTTACTAATCGTATTGGGGATTTTAGTATTTTTTTGTTTTTTAATGGTTTTATTTTATTTTCTTTAGGGAGTTTTTCTTACCAGTTTTTTTGTTCTATGGTTGTTTTTATGTTGCTTGTTTCTGCATTTATTAAAGGTGGTCAATATCCTTTTGGGAGCTGGTTGCCAAAAGCTATGGCTGCTCCAACTCCTGTTAGTTGTTTAGTTCATAGTAGTACGTTGGTTACTGCGGGAGTTATGTTGATGGAGGGTTATTTATATGTTTCTTTGAGTTCTAGTGTTTTATCATTTATTTTTTATGTGGGATTTTTTTCTGTTTTGTTTTCTGGTTTGTGTTCTTTAATTGAGGAAGATGCTAAAAAAATTGTTGCTTTGAGCACTATGTCTCAGATCGGGTTTTGTTTTTTATGTATTGGTAGTGGTTTGCATTATTTATCTTATGTTCATATAATTGGTCATTCTTTTTTTAAAAGGTTGTTGTTTATGCAGATAGGTTATTTAATTTTTATTAATTTTGGTCAACAAAATTATCGAGATTATTCTCGTTTTGATGTTTGTGCTCCGGTTTTGGTTCAATTACAGATTTTATTTTCTATTATTAGTTTATGTGGCTTGTTGTTTACTAGCGGTTATTCTAGGAAAGAATATTTTATGTCTTGTTTTTATTATGGTTCTTTTAGTTTTTTTTTGGTTTTTTTTTATTTTTTTGGTATTTTTTTAACTTTTTGCTATTGTTATCGTATATTATTTTTATTTCGTGTTAATTCTGCGGGTTTTGATTGTGTTGGGTTTTCTAGTAAGTTATTTTATTTTTCTTGTTTTTTTTTAGTTTTTTTTTCTGTTGTTTTTACTTTTTGATGAATTATTAGTTTTATTTCTTTTCCGGTGGTTTTAAATCGTTTTGAATTTTTGGTTGTATATGTATATGTTTTTTTTGTTTTTTGTTTTTTTAATTATTTTTTTCGTTATTTTTTTTTAGAGTTTAAAAATAAATTTTTTATAGATTATTACTCTTTGTATATTTATAAGTTAGTTCCTAAGTTTTTTTATTTTGATAATTTTATTTTAGGATTGAATTATTTTTTTTTTGGAATTGTTCGTTTTTTTTCTTTTTATTTTTTATCGTTGTTTCGGGGTTATTATCATATTGGTATTTTGGTGATTTTTTCTTTTATTTTATTTTTTTTGTTTTTTTAGTTTTT